CAATTCCCCTTGGGCACTAACTGTCAGTTCCCTACTCACGGGACACAAGTGTCCAAACAGCTGTCCTGGAGCCCTGGCAGCATCAGGTGTGTCTCAGAGCTCTATACAACAGGGGAATCCAGACCAAGACTGGCCCACTCATGCCACGTGGACTACCTACCTTTGAGCCCTGGGCAACTGGAAGACCTCTTGCCACACAGAGAAGAGCCCCTTGCGCTGGTCCTTCAGGCCAACATGAGTGGTCTGCACGTCCCTCAGGCTCAGCTCCCGCCGGCCCCTCCCATACAGAAACTGGACAAAGGGTAGAGAGTGAGCAGCAGCTATCTCACCCCTCGCTGCCTCACCCGGGCCACCTGCCCACCTGTAGCGTGTTGATGCAGGCCCGGATGTCATTATCAGTCTTCTCACACAGGGCAGTCAGAGCACCGGGGTCAGCCCGCATACCATGTTGCAGGGAAATCTAGAGGCGGGGTAAGCACCAGAGCATCTGCCACTGCTGAGGGGTCCCGTGCCCAATCTAACACACCCTGAGAGCTAACCCTGCGGCCACAGCCTTCCCTGCACTCGGAGGGAAGGAACACGGGAAGGGAGGTCAGGACAGGGGCTGACTGGAAGCTGCTCCCCTCCCCACCCTGCTGACCTCCTGGAGCCGCTGCACCAGCCTGGAGGGCAGAGTTGGCGGTACATGGAGCAGGAAAGCCTGCTGCTTCAGCTGCCTCAGGGAAGGTGTGAACCTGTAGAACAGGACCTGCGGTGGGCACACCAGCGACAGGCGCAGGGTCTAGGCCAGGGGACCCTCCTGCCCCACCACTGCACTCACTGGTCGTTGCAGATACAGATGATGGGCCTTGTTAGGAGGGACCCCTCAGCCCTGCGGCGCCGACCCCCCGAGGGGACAGCTGTGGCTCCTTGCTCAGCCTCCTGTGGACCCTTGCGATTCAAGATGCTCAAGAGAACGTTGATGGCCGCCTTCAGGGAGGCACAGAAGAGGACAGTGAGCCAAAGCCCCAGGGCACCGAACCAGCCTGCCCGCCTGCCCACCCCGGGCAGCAAGGAGGCCCACCGTGGGGGCTCCGTCGATTTCATCAATAACCAGGCAGTTGGGCCTCCCACCTGCGCCCAGCACTGACTCCATTTGTGTAGCTGCTTCAATGCGTGTTCGGAAGGCCTCAGGAGTACGGTCATCGCTGAGACATCAAGGCCAAGACAAGAGTTATCAGGTAGCAGCCAACATCCCAGCAGGATGCTCTGAGGCTCCCCACTGGACGTAGCTACCGCCAACCTCAGTAAGCCCTAAAGTCCCAACCCCAGCCTACACATCCAGGACCCTCGTCCTACCCGCCAATTGGGGTTTTAGACCTGCACCATAGCCTTAGCCTCACAGAGGCCCCAGACAAGGGTCTTCTCCTCGACTCACCTCGCATTCATCTCTACCACGCAGTACCCTGCATGCCGCGCAACCACGTGTGCCAGTGTGGTCTTGCCTAGTCCTGGAGGGCCACACAGCAGTGCCACCTATAGCCAAAGTGGAGGACAGACTGCTGATCTCTTAGCCAGTAGCCAGGGACGGAAAAAAAGGTTGGTCACTGCACCCCAGCCATCAAACGAGAATACCTACAGTAGTCAGAGTAAGAGAAAACCCTGCAGGAGGCAAGTTATGTGGAGACTTGACAGGAATACCAAGCCCCGCCTCATGGGCCGGAGCCCCTCCCCCACTGCCCATCATCCTGTTGGTGAGGCTTGGAGCCTTTGGGAGAATGGATTTAACTTCAAATTCACAACACTGGCATTTGATACCAACCCTGATGTCACTGTACCCACAGACTCTAGAGGAGTTAAAGATGCCTCCTGGACCCCTACCCCCACCCTCAAAATACTATTACAATAGCACTGGCTACCCAGAAGGCAAAGCCTCAAGCTCAGATATGTTCACACAGGCCTTCGTGGGGTTTACCTTCTGCCGAGGCCTCCGGCTCGGGTCCAGCTCAGCTTCTAGCATCTCCTCCAGCACCTGCTCATGGCTTTTCCACTTGCCAGGGGCTGTAGCCTCCTTCCCAACCCGGGTTGTCTCTGCACTGGGCCTGGCCTTCCGGGAAGGCCTCTCCCGGCCAAACACCACAAGGTCCCACAGCTTCAGCCACTTGAGGAGGCAGCGGTTGGTGAACTGTTAAGAGGAAAGCCTAAGGGAAGGGCCCTGCCAAGCCCACAGACAGGGACACTGAGGCTCAGAAGGAAGATCCAAGCCCTCGTCATCAACAATTTCACCGAGGCCTCCAACCTCTTGATAACCACAGGACCACCCAGTACCAACTGATGAAGGTGAGCGAGAAGGCAACCTAGGACAGAGGTTCTCAACCTGTGGATCACGACCCCTTGGGATTCAAATGACCCTTTCACAGGGATTTCCTAGGACTATGAGACGACAGGAATACTTATAGTACAATTCACAACAGTAGCAAAATTAGAATTATGAAGTAGAAATGAAAATAATGTTATGGTTGGGGGGTCACCACAACATGAGGAACTGTATTAATAGGTCGCAGCATTAGGAAGGTTGAGAACCATTTAACAAAGCCCACAGCAGGTCACAGTTGTGCTGCCTCAGTTTCCCCCATTTTCCACTCAGAGCCCCCCCACGTCATCCTTAGCACCCAGTGGCCCAGCAACACAAATATCAACTGGACCTTGGCCCTCCCCTCCTGCGAATAAGGTAAGCCATTCACACTTGAGTGAGAAAAGAGCTCACGTCATCGCTGAGCAGCTCCGTGTAGTGCCGGGGCGCAAACTCATCCACCCAGAGGCAGTGCTGAGTAGTGTCCTGGCCATGGGCTGGCTCCTCCTCGGGGCTCCCCTCAGGCAGAGCCTCCTCCCTTTCAGACCCGAGGCTGAAGAGAATTGAGCCCTGATTCACTACACAGGGCTCACAGTGACCAGGCCCACCCCATAGGCCAGGAGGTCAGTCCAAAACCCGACAGGGGTTCCCTGGGGTGGACATGTGCAGTTCACCTATGCAGAGTGTCTGAGAGCTGACGGGCCTCCTCAAGCAGTTGCTGTCGTCGCTACAAACAGGACAGGCTAGAGTCAGACAAGTCCAGCCAGCGCCCCCCCTCAACGCACACACACTCCCCCACTCCACTAGACTCACCCTGCTGTCAACCTGTTCCTTCAGGGAGGTGAAGGGGACACCCAGCAGGTCCAGCTGGCCACGGCCTCGCCAGCTGACATCCGGAAGAGGGTTCTGGGCAAAACAGATGTGTCACGTTTGCAACCCTCCCAGGTCATGAGGGCACCCACAGTGCCCTTCCCCAAGAAAGCTCACAGAGGGAGAGATGATCCCTTGCCTAATCAGAGGAGATGGCTCACTCAGATGGTTAGATCTAAGGGAGGTCAGCTTTTGCGTGGGGCTAAGGGAAAAGAAGGGCAGAAAGCTAACAGCTGGGGTACAGGGTGGTGCTCTAAGGCCATGTACCCCCAAAGTAGCACTGCTGTCACAACACTGTGGCTGGGCGTGCCTGTTTCTAGCAATTCAGACAGGTGAAACTGGCCTCAGAACCTGTTGAGAACCCACTGGCAACATAAAGGAACCCAATGCCAAGGACAGCCCCATGCTGTGGTCACACACCTGCACCCCAGTGCCTGTGAGGTCAGCCCGAAGCACCAAAAAGGCCCGCTCTCCACATGTGGATGTCACATTGATGTAATCCTCTAAGACAGGGGGTCGTCTCAGGACAGGATTGCGGGGACTTGGCAAAGCCTGCACGATGCCTTTGTCAGCACTAACAACCGAGGGCCTAAAAGGGACAGGCATTTCCAGTCACTCTCAGTGGGGTACCTGGACCCACACTTACTCCCCTGCCTCCCATAGGCCGCTTCCAGAGCCTCATCCAGAGATAAGCAGCTTTCCAAGGTAGAATTACAGGCCCTCAAACAACACACCCATCAACCAACATCTCAGGGAAAATCTCCGGACTGGGTGGCGGGGTGATGTCCCCTGGAGGGGAATCGGGGTACAGGAGCTCCTCCATATCTGGATCAAAGTTCAGCCTCTTCACCACCTCCAGCCTGGGCCGTTTGACCATGGGGCCTGCAGAGACAGAGGCAGGAAGAGAAGGCAGAGAATAGAAAGCGCGTCTTCAGCATCCCCCGACCTTAAGTTCCCTGTACCCGATTGGACATACTGAAGGACTCAGGCTGGTCCCTGCGAACATTCTTCCTGGTATTGCGGCTATCATTTCCTGGCGGCCTTGCAGGGCAGGGGCGCGGGACAGTGTCCCCACTGGCGATGGCCTCTTCGAAGGTCAGCGGGGGGCGGCTCGCTGGAGTCTGCAGGGACCCAGAGGGCGCCAGGTCCCGTGTCCCTGCTGAGACAGAGTTTCACAGCAGCCGCACAGCTCAAGACGCGAACTCCCAGCCTCTGCCTATCCCAGAGCTGTTCAGACAGCTCTCCAGGACTGAAGCACGAAGCAGCCACAGCCTGGCCGCGCGACCCAGGACCCGCGCCCACCTTCCAGCTCCGCCAGCACTTCGAGCTCAGCCGCGAACTGGTTGTGGAAGTCATCCTCCACACCGAGCAGATGCTCCTCGTAGTCTTCCATGGACCCCAGTGCAGCCAGCCCACAGCTCCCACAGCTAAGACTCCCTCGGAACTTCCCGCGCCGCAGCCACTGCGCGCCACCCCTCCCTGTGAGCCTCCCGTACCGCCAATCAACAGCCGGTGTTCCAAGAGGCGCCAGCCATTGGCCAACGGGGAAAGGCGGGTCTTCGCACTCAGAGGGCGGGAGGAGAGGACTAATGGTTCAGTGGTTGAAGAGGAGGACCAAGAACGCTTTCAATTGGCCTATACAGACATCCGTTTGTGGGGGAGGCGGGAAAAGAGGTGGGGCTAAAAGGGTGCGTGCGCAGACCACCTGGGTGTGGCCTCACCACCCTCCAGTGGGCGGAGCTCCAGACAAGGAATGCCATTGGCCAATACGGCCGTCCATCAGCGAAGTGGCGTGGGCAGGGTGAAGGTGGGGCTGCGCGCCAGCCAGGCCAAGACCTGATTCCTAGTGTAGAGAAGCAAGGTTGGGTGTAGAGCCGAGAAGTGACATCCTGATCCCTTGGCCCTGTTGCAGGTAAGTCCTACAGGGTCCGCCTGCGGTCACGGACTGATGGAAGGCAAGTTAGGGAGCGCCTGCAGTCCTGAGTGGTCCAGGACCAATCAGGGCACAGCAGCCCCTTGTCCTCTTCCTTGCGTACTCAGGGAAAATCCATAACCTAGCGTGAAGTGTGTAGGGATGAGTTGGACAGTCAGGTTGTTTATCCCAGGTCGGGTCAGGGAGAGCTCCCTCACCCTGAGTCCGGGGCAAATCAGAACCTCCTGACCTTGGCCAAACTCCCGTTCCTGAGCTGACACCCCTGGCCTGGCCCCTTGTGGAGGGCATAAAGGGTTCCAGCAGGTGCTGGCCCCAGTAAGTGTGCCGAGAGCTTGAGGTTCAGGTCAGGCACCCTCCCACCCCAGGCTCACTCCCACCTGCGTGCAGCCCCACCATGGAGCCTGGCAGCGTGGAAAATCTGTCCATCGTGTACCAGAGCAGCGACTTCCTGGTGGTGAACAAGCACTGGGACCTGCGCATTGATAGCAAGACCTGGCGGGAGACCCTGACCCTACAGAAGCAGCTACGGCACCACTTTCCAGAGCTGGCTGACCCTGACACCTGCTATGGGTTCAGGTACACAGCCAACACAGAGAGCCCCACTGCAGCATCCTTCCAGAGGATGCTGGGACACTGGACTCTGCCACAGAGGTGCTAACCAGAATACAACAGCCACTGCTGCTCCTCTGCCCCTTCCCAGGTTTTGCCACCAATTGGACTTCTCCACCAGTGGGGCTCTATGTGTAGCCCTGAATAAAGCAGCCGCAGGCAGCGCTTATAAGTGCTTCAAGGAACGGCGAGTTACCAAAGCCTACCTGGCACTGGTGAGTCCTGACCAGTTCCTGGGGTGCTGTGTACATACTCAAGGCTTCTAGCCTTCTCCGGTAGGCCCCTCTAACCCAAGCTCCATGCCTGTTCTTGGGTAGGCTCCTTGGACATGCTCCTATGTGACCAGCTAGAACTCAGCCGCTTCCTTCTCAGAGGTGGCAGTGTAGCCCAGTGAGCTGCATGTGATGTCCTTGCTTGGCAGGTCCGGGGCCATGTCCAGGAAAGCCAGGTGACAATCAGCTATGCCATTGGCAGGAACAGCACAGAGGGGCGGACCCACACCATGTGCATCGAGGGCACACAAGGTAGAGCGGTTTGTTGAGGGGCCTGCGGACATGGCTCCGAACCATGCGTGGATGGGAACAGCTGGACGTGTGGATTGGAGTTGGCTCATGCTCTAGGGCTGGCCCTGCTGACCCTCGCACTTGCCTTTGCATCCAGGTTGCGAGAACCCTAAGCCAAGTCTCACTGAGCTGCTGGTATTAGAGTACGGGTTGTATGCTGGTGACCCTGTGTCCAAGGTGCTGCTGAAGCCACTCACAGGTATGTCCAGGGCAGGGGAGGGCAGGGGTCTGGTCAGATAAGAAAGGATCTTGAGGTATAGGCATTGTGGCCTGCCCTCTGAGTGTATACCAGGTGTTTGGCAGAGCCAATAGCAAGATCTTTGTTGGCGCTTGCATGTTCCCTGGAGGTTTAACTGAACTCTCTAGCTAGACCATGTGTCTCCCTAGCTGTGCACTCAACAATGACCACCCCAAACCAATCTCTTGTCCTGAGTTCCAACATCTGATTTGTAGCAAGGGACATGATAGCAAGGGCCTGCCCTACCCTGAACTGCCCTTCCTGGTAGCACAGATCTGCAAAGTAGCTCCTCAGAGGAGTCTTTCTTTTTCTTGTTTTTGTTTGGTTTTGTTTGTTTGTTGGCTGGCCTTGAACTCACAGAGATCCACCTACTTCTGCCTCCCAAGTGCTGGGATTAAAGGCGTGCATCACCACAGCCCAGCAATAAAAGACTGTGTAAACAAAGTGTGGTAGCAGATAGACATAACTCCAGCACTCTGGAGGTGTGGGCCGGAAAACCAGAAGTTTATGCCCATCCTCTGCTACATGAAACTTTGTCACAAGGAAAGAAAAGGAAAAGCGGGCAGTGAGATGGCTCAGCAGGTGAAGGTGCCTTCCACCAAGCCTGACAACCTGAGTTCAAGTCCCAGACCCACATGGTGGAAGGAGAGAAAAGACCCTTAGGAGGGGAGGTGTCTTCTGGGCTGGGTGGTGGTGGTACATGCCTTTAATCTCAAGGGGCAGAGGCAGGTGGATCTCTGTGAGTTAGAGGCCACAGAGTGGTCTACAGAGTGAGTTTCAGGATAGCCAAGCTACACAGAGAAGGCCTGTCTCGGGAAGAAACAAGCAAACAAAAAAGTTGTCTTCTGACTTATTTTGTACAGCGTAGCATCATGCAGGAACAAAACACACACAAAATTAAAATGTGCTTTAAAAAAAAAAATTAAAGGCAGAAGAAAGAGAGTTGGGGATACAGTTAGCTATAGAATGCTTGCCTGGCATGTACAAGGCCCTGGGTTCCATCCTCAGCACTGCAGAACACAACAGAAACCCAAGGGACTGCCAGGAAGCTCTAAAGCCACCACAGAGAACTTGCTGGATACTGTAAGAGCAAGGTAGGGATGTGACAAAGAATGGTTCGTCCCAGCCTGACCTCCCATCCCTGACCCCACAGGCCGGACACACCAGCTTCGTGTACACTGCAGTGCCCTTGGCCACCCTATCGTGGGTGACCTGACTTATGGACAGGCTGAGGACCAGGAGGACCAACCTTTCCGCATGATGCTGCACGCCTTCTACCTGCGCATCCCCACACAGGCTGAGTGTGTAGAGGCCTGTACACCTGACCCCTTCCTGCCTGCCCTTGATGCCTGCTGGAGTCCCCATACCTGCGTTCAATCCCTTGAACAGCTCATCCAGGCCCTCAGGACTGACCCTGATCCCAACCCTATGGGTGGAGGCCCGAGGCCCTGCAGCCCCTCCAGCCCCCTGCCCAGGCCAGGTCGGCCCCCTCCTGAGACTGAGGCACAGAGAGCATCCTGCCTGCAGTGGCTGTCAGAGTGGACACTAGAGCCAGACAACTGAGAGCCACGTGACTTTGGGGGTTGAGGGCTGCTAGACTCAGCAGCTAGGCAGCCATGATGGCTAAAAGACAGGGTACTTGGGTTGTAGGAGAGATGTCCAGTAGGCAAGTCTTCCTCTCAGCATTCCTCCAGGGGAAGCTAAGGCGTTTCCTCCTGGAACAGCTTTCTGCCTCTTCAGCTTTACCCCAGGCTTGCCCAAGCCCCTAGTCAGGAGGGGCAAAGCCAGGAGCTGGGATCCTCCTGGGCCCCACAGTGCCTGAGAAAGGCCGTCCTGCCATTAGCCTACCTGGACTCAGTCCCCTGCAGCCCCCAACCTGCCTCTTGCTGCCTGCCACTGTCATGTGCCTTTGCCTTTCTGAACTCTGCCAGAGGAGGCCTCACCTCCTCTGCCTGCATCCAGCGCTTGGCCCCAGTGCATGAGAGTGTGTTGGGGCATCTACAGAGACATCCTCCATGCATGCCCATTCCTCTAAACCTGGCATGGATGCTGTGGGTTCCTGGCTGGAGCTTCTGCCGTGTCACCACCTACCAGGCTTCCACATAGCCATAGAGTGTCAAGATCAGCCTTTGGGTCCTTTCCTGAGAGCCTTCTGGGCCTCACCTATCCACCACAACACAGCCACAGCACCCTGGCTGCAGCTAGGGTCTAAGATTAAGAATAAATGTTGGGTGATCAATCCTGAGAGTGACCACGAGTATATCTGATACGGGGTACCCTTGACCCTTGCTGGATCGGGCAGATCTCTAGCCCATGGCTGCTTAGCAGGACCTACTGCAGATCTTAGTTCATCGCTGCTGCCCTTCCTTACCCCATTGGCAATAAGAAACTTGCAGTAAGGGCATGTGGCTGTTAGAAGGGACAAGAAGCTGGGTCATATACCCAGTCCCCAGAAGGGCCCTCCCATCAGTGTCCCTAGGAGAGCCACTGTTTATATGTTGGCCCACACCCTAGGTGCCCAGAGAACCAGCGTTCATAGGAGGGACATCACGAAGCCAGCATTCCCTCTGAGGTCACCTAGCTCCTGCTCAGTCCCTCCCCACTGCAATGTCCTTGGCTACCCCTACATTGAACTACAGCTGCCATGATGGGCCAGAACCCACTGCCCACTAGATCTTGGTAAAGACTCCAAGGAAGTCAGAGCCATGAGGCCCTGAGCCAGTTGCTTCTACTTCCATTGCTTCAATTTCGCAATCCAAAAAAGGAGAGCTTGGAATAGATTGAGAGGCCATGCCTGTCCCTGTTGAGCTGTCGACGGCCATTTATGAGTTTCTTTATCTTTTCATGGGGAGATACAAGTCTTTGCCTGTTTCCTCAGCCTCAGGATACCCCTCACTTAGCACAGGCCTAGTCATAGCAGTGACGGATGTCTGCAGACCCAGGAACTGGGCGCTCACCTCCCTGGCAGCCAACTCCAAAGCTCCAACCCTCAGCTCGGCAGCTGTCATTCCTGTCGTCACCACACAGGGGCACTATTGGGTACTGTTACCAGCGCATCTACCTGGATGGTCAGCAGTGTACTTCCACAGCTTGAGAGTAGGGCTGAAGCAACCTCACATCTTTGTGGTTTTCAGGGGTCCCTGCCACCCCTGAAAACTTCACAAAAGGCTTCCCTCAGGAAGTTCAGCACTGACATGCACGTGGCAGAGATCTCAGGGCAGGGCCTGCATAAGGAGGTAAGCAGGACACAGCCATTGCCTCTGACAAAGGCCAGGCCAGCAGCTCCTTTCATCCACCAAAGGCAAATTTTCCCATTTCGAAGAGGAAACAAGGCATGGGGTTGTAGCTCAGCTCAGCATTCACACAACCTTGGGTTCCAACCCCAACCGTACCTTTAGGCAAGCAAACAATCCTTTATGGGGTGGTGCACACCTGTAACCCCAGCACTCAGGAATTGGGAGCAAGAAGATCCCAAGTTCAAGGTCATCCTCAGCTACAGAACAGGTTGGAGGCCAGCCTGATAGAAGAGACCCTGTTTTTTTTAAAAAGCAGTTTTTTGGAGGGGCTGAGAAGATGACTCGGTGGGCAGCGTGCTTGCTCCATTCGTGTGAAGACCTAAGTTTCGATCCCCAGAACACACATAAAGCCAGGCACGGCACCTCACGATCACAACCTTCTACAGTGGCATGGGAGGTGGAGACAGATTCCTCAGAAGCGTGTGGGCCAGCTAGCCTGGTGTACATGACAGTGAACTGTAAGAGACTATCTCAAAGAAGGTGGAGGGCAAGGCAAGGACTGACACCTGACAACACACACACACACACAAAGATTATAAAGAAAAAGAAGCAAATCTGTGCCCCCGCCCCCTCTGCAGTAGGTGCGGTTCTGCTGGAGCAGGAAGCAAAGCAGTGACTGGCATCATGGTTGGCACTCTCCAGGGCACAGGAGCTCCAGGTGGCTCCCCTGCAGGGGCAATGCTCCTCTGAACGTCCATGACCCAGCCCACTTCCCAAAGGACAGACCAGCAGTGGAAGCAAAAGAATGTACCTTCATGTCACAGGCTCTGCCAGACTTCAGCTGTGCCAAGTAGCCTAGGCAGCAACAGTACACCAGCCATGGCTTGCCATCAGCACCACAGTGGCCAATGTGCGGGCAGGAGAGGTCGCTGAACTATCACAATGGCCTGGAGCAGGGTGGAAAGCTGAGGCCACGGAGCAAGGAGTGAGATAGACAAGAAGGCGGACAGACAGGCAAACAGGAGTTGGAGGGAAGGCAGAGCAGAAGCCCTGGGCAAGGACCTGCTCCAGAAAACACTCCACAACTATGTCTGCCTAGAAAATCCCAGCCAGTGTTCATGGTCTCCAATGACCCTCTGGACTTACCACTTGGTCTAGCACCTGCTCCTATCCCAGGTGGGACATCCCCCAGCTGAGGCTCCAGAGTCCCAGTGGAGGATCCATCTTTGTACATCTACCCTCATCCTATGGTTATGAGGTGGACAGGGATCAAAGGATATAGAGCAACTATACCAGGCTTCCTGGAGGAGGGCCTTTCTAAGACAAAGCCAGCCTGGCCAGCACTCCAGGCAGGGTCAAGGTAAGGGTGGGCAGGGCGCTAAAGGGCTTGCCCAGGGCTCTCTAGGGATGGCATTTACTGTGTGCCCTAGAGCTACTCGCTCAGCTCTTCCAGGCCCCATTTTCTCATCTGGAAAACAAAGATTTGAACTACCCCAAGGCTGTAGTGGAGTTCGGTGAGCCGTAAACCAGAAGAGATAGATAGGATGTGGCCCCATCAGCAATAACTCTACTGCTATGATCGTTTGCTGATACCGGGCTACGGATGCCCTAGAGGCCAAGCCCACATTGGGCAGCTCAGTATCTGGCCTCTGCCAAAGCCAGAATATGAGAAGTCTCCTCCAGCCTACCTGGGCCCTGAAGGTAGGTCCCACCACATGACACCTCTTCCTGGCAGGCATCTCAGTGTCCAGAGCAGCCTTTTCAGCCAAAGCAGGGATGTAATTGAGTGGTAGAGCACTTGCCTAGCATGCTCAGGGTCCAGGTCCTAGATTTAATACCAGGACAACAAACAAATACAAACACAAAAACAACTCCTTAGCCAAAATCTGTTCCCAGGTCAGCGCTGGAGTCAGAGTGCCATTGGCAGTCTGTCCTTGACCTCAGGTCAGTGCTGGGGCTCAGGGTCAGCCTGTGCTCTCTACTTGGGACCCTTTCCCAAACCTGTTCCCAGGACCCTGCCCCTCCAGAATGGAAGCCCCTAAACCTCGGTGGCCCTCACTGCCGCTAAATGTAGCTGCTGGGAACCACTATGTCAGCTACACTGGTCCAAGTAGAAGCCCAGGAGCCCTGTGAGACCCACCAGGAGCAAGACTATGAACCGGCCAAGCCACCTGAACTCACCCCTAACTGACACCCACCAGGCAGGACTCCTGGGACTCCTGGATTCCACAGCTGCCAGCCTCTCACCGGACAGCAAAGCAGGCTTGCTGGTCACGTGATATTTTGGGTGCCAACAGTGACCATGTAGCTTCAGACCGACACTACAGGGCTCAAGGCCTTGGAGCCTTCTTGCCCTCCAAAGCCCCTTCCAAAGTAAGAGCTGCAAGTAGGTCATGATCAGTGCCAGGAGCCACGGGTCAGCCCAGAACACTCAGAACCCGACCGCCTCAGTCCAGAGGCAGTTTTTCCAAGACACAGTCCAGCAGGTAGGCTGGGAAGTCCCCCTTGCAAACCTTCCTCTTACCTAGCCCTCTCAGAGCTCGCCTGGTGGAGCCATCATCTTGGCCCTGGTGCTAATGATTGTGCCCCTGAGGTCTTGGCAGCAGCTTTCAGGCCCCGAGTAGAACCATAGATGCCTCTCTGCATGCTTTCCCTGCCCCACAGCCCACATGCCTACATGATACTGTGCTTTAGCACCCACAGAATGGCCGTGCCCAGCCACCATACTTGTCTGTGTGTGTCTAATGTCCTGTGTGGGGACAGCTTCCGTGTCTTTGCTCCAGGGGCTCACAGCCTGTGCAGAATGAGAAACACTTATGTGCACAGAGACACGTGTGAATCCAGGCCGCCCCTCATCACACCCTGAACGAAGCTGGGCCTCGAGGGGAAGGTGTCTGCTGGGTACCTGCCAACCCTGAGCTCAGCCTGAGCTTCTCTTGGGGCTGAAGAGCAGGTGCATACCACGTCTAGGGCCCGAGGGGTTGATATAAGCATCACCTGGCTCAGCCTAGTCTCCTCCCCACAGGCCTGCCTGGAAGATGTCACGGTCAGAATGGATTGACAAGGCAGGGTGGCAGTCGCATGCTGCCTACCGGACCAGGTTTGCAGATGAGCGGGAACCATGACAGCTCTCCACACAGCAGCTCCACATCCTGGGGCGTAGCTGCAAGGATTGAGACTCTGAGCCTGGATCCCTGAGCCTGGATCACTGGCGTCTGCAAAACCTGATCTACCATATCCTGTGGCTGTCCGCTCAGGAGTAGCCTCTTCTCTGGGCCCTGGATAGCCCCTTCACTACCAGAGACCATATTCCTATTCAGGTAAGACCTGTGAGGACAGAGAGACCTACCAGACTTCAGGGTTGTAGGCTGTTAGGCATCTGAGCCTGTGTTACCCCCTACACAGGGCAGTAACCTTCCCGGGTGCCTCTTGGGCCACACAGTCAGAAGGTCGTAGGGCCCATTAAGTCATCAGACTGTGCACTCTGTGGTGGGGAAAGTCGGTGGCACAGGGCAGTCCCGCAGTTCTGGCTGGGCCCCCTCTTGTCTTCTAGAGCCCGGGTCTCAGAGGCAGCTGTTGTCTAAGGTTTGGACCACAAGGTGTGGGGGCGCGTCTCCCCCACTGCTGGGAGATTTGCTATTTGTGAGATCTGCTAATTGGAGACAATACACCCGTGGGTCCCGGGGGCCCAACCTGTGATAAGAAAGGCCAGATCCACTACCTCCCTTCCCCTGCCACTCCCTGTTGTTGTGACGCTGGTTTGTGGGGCTGCTTTCTTCCCCAGGCAGGATCAGGCACCCTGCAAGATGTCAGTGCTGGCTTGCTTTCTCTCTTTCCATCTCCCGTGAAGCTAACTTGCGCCACTCCCTGTCTCATCTCCAGCTAGGCCTGGACCTACAACCCACAGCCTTCGGGCTTCCCTGCCCTGAGACACTTCAGCCAGGATGATCAAAACCTTCCGACAGTCAGCTATGGGCTCCAGAGTGGGTGAGAAAACACTTCTACACAGAGGGGGATGCCCAGGGCCCTGGGATGGCTATGGGTCATATTCCTGCAGAGGTGGGGATTCTTCTTGCTCTAGGCACCTACCCACATGAACCCAGACTTGGGGACCTGCTGCAAGGGAAGGAAGGGCAGAGCATGAGGACCCCTATACACAGGTCAGCTAGTGTGGTTCGAAAGAGCATCGGAAACACAGTCTGACCAACACAGCCCTGGGGGTCCTAGTGTGGACAAAGCAGGGCTGTGATCAGACGTAACCAAGCCCTCTTTGGTAGTCTCAGCCTAAACCAGGCCAGGCCCCGTGGAGGCAGGGAAGAGAATGGTCTGCAAAGGACATCAGAGCATGGCCATCTTCCATAGGCCCTGTGACTGCAGCCTAAGAGATTTTGCTAACAGCCTGCTCTGTCTGAACAACAAGAGAAGCGTTGCTGGAAACACGCCCCCTCCCCTGGGCTGGGAGACCCTTTCAGGTCCCACTGCAGAGACAAGCGGCTTGGAAGAACATGGAGCCAAACCTCTGTCTCTGAGTTTTGGGAGTCTCAGTGAGAAGTGGGTCACAGGGAGCCTCTACTCATGCCCTCACTGCCGCTCTGTTGCAGGTGCCCTGGTGAGTCTGGGCCTCACCCTCCTCCTGTCCCTCACTGCCCACTGCTCTGGTCCTCAGACTAAGGGCTTCCCCAAGGGAGGGCTGGATGCTAGTGAAGCCACCACATGGGTCAGGTGAGCAAAACCTAAGCCGGGCAAACTGTTTTCTGAGAGGAGGAGTGGTCCTGAGTCCTCTGTTGGTGGGCACAGGAGAGGGGCCATGTCCAGGGTCTGCCCCTAAGGCTTAGACAGGGCCATTGTTTGCCACCTCTAACCTAGAGGGCCGAGCCTGGCTTTAGTGCCACTTGTCGGCTAGCCTGCTTCCCGGGTCCAGTGTCCACAGTGTGGGCATGATCACAAGACGCCTCAACCATCAGAGGCTTATAGCCTCAACCAATCTCCCCAGCTTTCCTGCCTGGAGGACCAGGCTATCACCCCTACTGCTTGTGCAATGCCTAGGGCCTTCAAAGCCATCGCTGTCCCCAAATCACTTCAGCTTAGTCATTTCCTGCTGTCCAGGGCTCTCAGTCCTGGGCTTGGCTTTTTCCCTATTTCTTGGGAGTGATGACCATCAATGGGCCAATCAGCTAATGAGGTGATTGGCCAGGCAGGACCAGGGTCACAAGTGATCCTAGCCAAGCCTGGGTTAGTATCAGAGACGCCCTCCCACCAATAGGTTTTTGTTGTTGTTGTTGTTTTGTTTTGAATACAACACCCTGAGAAAGGTCTAGAGATTGACCTCACCCAGGGTCATCCAGCATGTGATCCCATACCTTTCAGTAACTATTGGGACTGGTCCAAGCCAGAGCTCAAACTCAGCTGAGCCTGAGCCCCAGAAGTGATGGCAGGAGCCATGGTAAGGCCCCATTCAGCTGAGAGCCTGGCCCTAGCAAGGTCCTTTAGGATGGATGGATAGAAGGAAGAAAGGAAGGAAAGAAGGGAAAGAAGGGAAGGAGAAAGAAAGAAAGAAAGAAAGGAAGGAAGGAAGGAAGGAAGGAAGGAAGGAAGGAAGAAAGAAAGAAAGAAAGAAAGAAAGAAAGAAAGAAAGAAAGAAAGAAAGAAAGAAAGAAAGAAAGAAATAAATCTTGTCTGGAACAGGCACTCCCTGCCTCCTACTCTCTCAGTGGTAGAGATGGCTGAGATGCAGGCCCCCTTGCAGTAGCCAAAGCCTTCCTTGCCTTTCTTTGTGGGTCTTTCCTTTTGGACCCAGCACGGCCCCCTCTTTCTACACAGGGACAACACCTCCCTCCTGCAAAACTTTTGGTGCTTGCCAGCCAGCCAGCTGCCCCGGGAACAGCTCTCCACTTTAATCAGAAGCCTGGCTTCACAGAGGGTCCCACTCAAAGCCTGGCAGGTAAGTGCTTCAAGGGCAGAGGAAGTGCCCAGGTGTTGCAGGCTAACCGGACACTGGGTTAGACAGGGAGAGGGGCAGTTCTGCAGGCACTTAGGGGTCTGCACACAGCTTCCCTGAAGCAGAGGGCTGTCTCCAAGTCCTCCTGCCAACCTCAAAACCACCTAGAATGTGAGTTGGTGGTGGCCCCTGTGTGACAAGTAGTCCGGCCCTTCTGAGGGGACTCTTCCGCTGTGGGTGATGAGCATGAGCACCCACACTGGGTGGTTCCAACACATTCCAGCCAGGCTGCCTACAGGTTTGAGGGCTTGTCTGCTGCCTCCAGTCCCTCCCTAAGCTCACCTAGGATGTGAGGTCTCCTTGGGGTAATCCAGCCCCGGGGCTCTCAGCAAGGATCTTTCCACCTCTCTTCCAATGGGGGATACAGGAACCTGAGCTGTGAGAGGCCAGCTGAGCCCACTTGGCCCCATATCAGCCATCATCTCCCCAACTTAACAGGAAAAAAAAAAAAAAAAAAAAAAGAGCTAGACAGAATGGCGTGGGCCTTCAACCTCAGCACTTGAGGGGCTGAGCGGCAGGACTAAATAGAAAGATCCCTTTTTTTTTTTTAAGATATTCCTTAAAATGTGTGCATGTAGCCTCAGAGTGTCCAGATACATATGGCACAAACTAATAGAAGGGAAGGAGAAATGGGTAAATCCACTGTGGTAGCCAGCGATGTCGGCTGCCTGTCAGGACAGGTCAGGTAGAACGGAGAAATCAAGAACAACCCAGAGGAGCTCATTCAGCAGCTCAGCCAGGTGCCTGGAGCTGATAGGTGTGGACAACTTTATCCCTCAACAACAGAACACATGCTTCTTACCAAGATGGACCCATCCCTGGCTCTAAGATCCACCTTCCCAAACCCTGCACTGCAGAAAGCACCCAGTGTCTGCTCTCGGAGCACAACCAACTTGGAACGAGAGATGAGTTGCAGAAAGGTGGATGGGAAATTCCCTAATTCCTGGAAATTGAACAACACTCTTGATTTCTGAGACAGGGTTTTTCTGTAGAGCCCTGGCTGTCCTGGAACTTGCTCTGCAGATCAGGCTGGCCTTGAACTCACAGAAATCCACCTGCCTCTGCTTCCTGAGTGCTGGGATTAAAGGCATGGGCCATCACCACCTGGCTGAACAACACTCTTTAAAACGGCTGTTTTGCCACATGTGTGTGTGTGTACCTTACTACACACACATGCAGAAATCAGAAGAGGGCATACACTGTGTTTATGCTGGGAATTGAACCCAGATCCTCTGGGAGAGCAGCTGACACTCTGCTTAGCCATCTCTCCAGGCCATGAACAGAACTCTCAAGATTTTTTTTTTTTTTTTTCTGGCAATGAGGTCTCATTTATCCTCGCTTGGTCTTAAATTCACTGTGTAGCCAAGGATAGCGTTAACACTTTTTCTTTTACATTTTTTTAATGCAATATATATGAGTGTTTCTCTGCATATATGTCTATGTATCACGGACGTGTGCAACTCTGGAAGGAGCCAGAAAGAGGCCATTGGATCCTCTGGAACTGGAGTTACAGACAGTTGTTGGCCGTCATGTGGATGCTGGGAACCACACTCAAGTTCTCTGTGGGAACAGCAAGCATTCTTAGCCACCTACCATCTCTCCGGCCCTCAGCCCTGAACTGAAACTCCTAATCTTCCTGCCCCCACCCTCCAAGTACTTGGGTTACAGGTGTGCACTGCCACTTCTGGCATCAAGACAATTGTCAAAGTGTTTTGGGCTAAATGAAGATAAAAGTACGGCCTGATATGCTGGGTTATGCTCCGGAGGCTGATGCCAGAGCATGTAAGCAAACACACACACACACACACACACACACACACACACGCACACACGCACACACATGCACACACACACGCCACCACAATAAATTTAAAAAAAAATTTTTTATGTAAAAAAAACTATCTGAACTCAACAGTGTAGTCTTCTACCAGGAAACCAGGGGAAGATAAGAAATAGAAACCTAAAAGAAGAGACAGAAAGATGAACACCGGAGGTAAAAATGAATGAAGCTGGAAGGAAATCAGCAACACCAGAAGCTGCTCCTGTGGAAAGGTGACGAGCCTCTAGCTCCCGGAGAGGGGAAAGACACACAGTTTACTGATAGCGGGAACAATCGAGGTCTTTGTTGCACATCCCTTGACAATAAAGGGGCTGTAAAGAAATATCTGTGCTCACAGATGTGACAATTGGAGGACATGAACCAGTTGTGAAAGGCAGGTATGCCGGTACACACACGGGGAGCATAGAGACAGCCTCTCACGATAGGCATATGGTGCTGTATGCTTGTCACCTCAGAACCCAGGAGAATCTTGAGTTCAAGGTCAGACAGGCTACATAGTGAAACGCCTAGAAAGGAACAAACGAACGAACAAGCAAGAATCAACACTTTCTAGGTAGAGCTAAGCCACGTTTAACATTTGTGGCACCAATCACCTTAGGTGAGTGTTATAACCTGTTCACAGTGGAACAATTGCAGTTCTAATTTGAATATCTCTAGATATATTTATTTTTGAGACAGGGTCTGTACAAAGCTTTGGTTGCCCTAGAACTCACTGTGTAGACCAGACTGGCTTCCAGCTCACAGAGATCCACCTTCCTCTGCATCTAGAGTGCTGGGATTAAAGGTGTGACGAACCTCCACACCTGGTTCGTCTCTGGCTTTTAACCGCAGCTCGTCCGTTTTCTTCTCTCGGGACTATATCTGGGGCCTTGCTTTTTCCACCTGCTTTCTCATTTCTGTGCTACTGCAGGGTTTTTCTCACTCGAATCTCCAATTCCTCCTTAAAGTGTGCCTTCTGCTGAGTGGGGTAGGGGCTGAGCAGCGTCCCCCCAGGGCCAGTCCACACTGGACAGACAGTGACCTGCCGCCCAACCTCTGCCCCTGCTCAGCTCAGCTGTTTGGCCAACCTCGCTGCGCGGCTAGGCCTTCAGGATGACTTCGAGTTCCACCCACCCAGCCTCCTGCTTTTCTACAAGTGAGTGTCTCTGCCGTGGCCTCCTCGGCAGCAGTTAGGGGCTTGCCTGTCCGTGGTTGGACCACCCTGGAGACACCGGGAAGGCTGGCGGGAGGCCCAGTCCTGCCTTCCTGACATCCTTTCACTTGTCTTCAGTCTGAGCCAGGTGAAGGAAGCCAACTGCCGGGCCTTCATTCATCACGCTGCCCAAGGGGACACCACGCTGCTGGCCAACTTGCCCAACCAGAGAGTTGCCCTGCGGCGCACAGCCTTGGCCTGTCTGGTATGTGCCTCGGGTGGGGACAGGACTGAGCAGTGAGGTCCACTCACACGTTGAGCACTGACCTACTGTCCCTGCAGGGGGGACCCCACCTACAGCTCAGTGCATCAGACCTGGGGCTTCTTGGGGTCCTGGTATGTGACATGGAGGCGCCACAAATTGTGACTGCAGACCCCCGTGTGCTGAAGAACCTGCTTCGCTGCCCAAGGCTAACTGCCACGCAGACTGCTGCCCTCAACACCCTGCTGGCCAGTGGGAAGACACAAATTGGGTGGGTGGAAGGTCCAAGGCTCGGAGTTTGGGGAGTGGGGGAAAATAGGGAGGCTAGAGGGGCTTTCTTCCTTGGGATACGATGGGAGGGAGCTTGAGGTTGGAACCCAAGATGGCAGTGATGCCTTCCTGCACTCTTGCCAGCCTCGGCCCGACTCTGACATTGCAGGTTGAGGCAATGAGGTACAGGGTTAAGGTTGCTTCCAACCACCTAGGGTTCTTAGCAAGACAAACCCCTAAAACTGGGTGGGCACTGGCCAGGGGTTAAGAGCCTATAAATACTCTTCCAGCCTGCTAGGGGATGGGGTGGCATATTAGATGCCAACACGGCACCTTTTCCCATGTACCAGGCCTCCTGGCTCCTGGAATGTGGAGGGGCTACAGGCCCTGGGACCTCTGGCCACCTACATCAGGCCCCACCTGTGGGAGAAGGTGCAGGAGGTAGGAAGGTACCTGGAGTGGGACTGGCTGTGGGCACACTATCAATCCATCCAGGACCATGAGTGCCAAACAGCCACTCTGAGCTCAACTGGTGGCCCTGGGTGCCCCTGTCACAGCACAGAGGGCCTGTGTGGTGGGGGGTGAGGGAGGACTAGGCTGACCCTTCCTATGACTGGGTGTAGACACACTTGCCTCTGCCAGGCTGTGGGCTTGGACTTCTTCCGCAGTGTGGTGGCTGCCTACCGGGCAGGCCAGCTGAGCAGGCGTGATGCCCAGCACTTCATCACCAACTTCCTGGAGTCCAAAGCTAATTCAGTGTCCTCAAGGCCCAAGCGGCGCACAGGTCAGTGTGACCACTGTGTATTAGGGACACTATCCTTCCCCCAATCTGGACTCCTAACCTTGGCCTGGGCCAAGCTCTTGGCTAGAGACCAAGAATGAAGGGCAAGTCGAAGTCTGGTTATGATCAGAAGTAGAGTGGGCTGGGCTTGGGGGCCCCTTGAGGGGCTGAGGCAGAAGGATCTTAAGTTTGAGGCCAGCTTGGAATACGTAGCAAGACTCTGCCCTGCAAAAGCAGACAAGATCAAAGTGGGAGCCAGGGTTAAAGCTGGGTCCCCAAAGCCAGCAAATTGTCAGCTCAAGCCTTTGTCTGCCAGCCTCTGCTCATCAGCACACCTTGCAGGGAGATCCTGTGTCCGTGGCAACATCACAGCAGCCACCCTGCACGATGACCTCTTCCTGGCGCGCTATGACTGCGCCCAGCTGGAGTCCTGCCTGGGCACACGTGTGCTCAGGGCCAACCTGGACCCCTTGCTCCAACACCCCCTGCCTGAAGAGTGCCAGCGTGTCGTCAAAGCCAAGCTCACTCAGGTGTGTGGGAGGTCTCTATGGGGTGGAGGCTGGAGGGCTCAGCTACAACATGAACCGCCCACCTGCCTCAGATCTACCCACATGGCGTTCCTGAGGACCAGCTGCGCCTCATCACCTCTCTGGTGTACCTCTACTCCCTCGCTGAAATAGGCCAGTGGAACATCACGTCTGGAGACACGGTGATGGTCCTGCTGGCCTCAGACGCGGCTCTGGACAACCAGACAGAGGTGAGGGTGGGAGGTGGGGGGTGATGGGGCTGAAGCTGGCCGGTCTGGTTGGCCCAGACCTGCTCAGCCTGGCCCTGCCTCCAGGCAGTTCTTCAGAGGTTCTTGGACCATAATGGCAAGGTCACGGGCGCTCTTCTGGTGGCCATCGGGGGTTCCCGTCTCTGCTGGATGAGCCTCAAGCAGATACAGATCATCCAGCCCTCAGAGTTCCGGTGAGCTTCCCATCCAAACACCGTCCCAGCATGAGGCTAGGGAGGGGGGTGGAGTGTCCAAGCCATGCCATCAGAGATTTTTGGACCACCATTTAAAAAATGTCACAGATGGCAAGGGAGACAGCTCAGCCTGTAAAATGCTTGCCGGACAAGCACAGGGACCTGAATTCAGATCTCCAGCAGCCAACAAAAAGCTGGAGATGACAGCCAGATGGGAAAACCGAGACAGGAGGATCCCTGGAGCTTTCTGGCCAGCCAGTCTAGCTGAAATGATGAACCGCAGGCCAGTGTCCCAAATAATAATTTCTATTGAGGAAGACACCTGAAGTCAAGCTCTTAGATGCACAGGCACACGCAGGCACTCATGCATGCACGCAGGCATGCACAGACCAAAGAGAGTTAGCAAGATGGTTCAAAGCTGAAAGGTGCTTGCCACAAAGACTTAGAACCTGAGTTTGACCCCTGGGTCCCGCACGGAGAAGGCAAGTACTGACTTCCTCAAGCTGTCCTCTGACCTTCACACGCATACCGTGCTGCCCACACACGTGCGCACACACAAATGATATAAAAAAATAAGAAAAGCCTAAAATGGAGAAAAGGAAGTATCACAAACTGAGTGACATAAAATAAGAAATATGCTCCCTAAGACTTCTAGAGTCCAGAAGTGCAAAGTCAAGACACCCACAGGCCCAGGCCCCTCTGAACCTCACAGGAAGGTCTGTCTTGCCCTTACCAGGGTGTCTCTATCTAAAAGCCCCAACCTGCTGTAAAAACACCAGGATGTGGGTTTAGGGCCAACCTAGGAACTTCCTCTTCTACTCTGATTTCATCCACCAAGAATTTCTTATTTCCAAATAAAGCCACTTTCTGAGGTACCGGTGGATTTAAATTTGGGGAATTATACTTTCACCCAGTGCAGAGGGCAAGAAGAAATCTGTGTCTCAAGGGGTGGAGGCTACACTCAGTGGTCCAGGCCAGGGGCTTTCATCCTACTCATCTCCCTCATCCCACTCCCAGGCTGGCCGGGGCTCCAGACATCTCTCTCTGCCCTCAGAGTCGGAAGGACGCGCTCTTCACCAAGGCTCATGAGGTCTTTAGGAACACCAGTAGCATAGGAGAGTACTACTATTTAATACGCCCCTACCTCGGTGAGCTCTGCTCTGTGCCGCCTCTTCCCCTCTGCCTCTTGTTAATATACCCGCCCTTTGCCCTGTGCATCGCCCCACACACAGGTCCTCTGCCTCTTTGTCTGTCTTTCTCTAGGTGGTGCCCCCTTGGAGGAACTTCAGTACCTGGCCCAGGCCAACATCTCCATGGACATTGATACCTTCACCAACCTCAACCCCCTCATGCTGAAGGTGGGCCCAGGGGCTACCTCTGTTTTGCTTTATTGAGATGAGGTCTTACTCTGTAGCCCAGGCTGGCCGGGAACCCACAATCTTCCTGCCTCCGTGTCTTGAGGGCTGGGGTTACTGACATACACCACAATGCCTGGCTGGGAACCCCAGGTCTCAGGCCCATGTGTCCGGAAGCCGGAGGAATTCAGATGGCATGTGACCTCTGTGCCTCATGGTCCCCATCCTGCTCAATCCTGGGGGCAGCACCAATCTTTCTGGGTCCTTGACAGGGGAAGGAAGCCCCGTGGATCCTCACACACACCCCCAAAGCCCCTGGATTTGTTTGCAGAACATGGGTGTGAACAACGTAAGAAATCTGCTGGGACAGAATGTGGGGGACCTGCGGAAGGCCCGCAACCATCCAAATGTTGTCCTGTGGATGAACAGCCACAACATGTCAGACCTCTCTGAGATGGGCTTGGACACCAGTCCCACACTGACCTATGTGACCAACAGGCCCCCTAACACTGCCTACTCACCACCCAATTTGGACCACACCTTGGATCCGCTGGGGAATGATGTTGCCCCTGCCTCAGGTAAGGTCCACACCTCTTATTCCTATCCTCTGCAAGACCCCTGGCTGTCCCTTTCATTTGTCTCCTAGAATCTATCATGTGTCACAGGTGACACAGGTCACTACCTGGGACCATCTATAGTGACACAATTGCCTCGTCCAAAACCTATCAAACCAGGACCAAGTCTGGAGGCCCAGGGTTATAATCCCAGCTACTCAGGGGGCGGAGAGAGGAGGATTGCAAGTTCAAGACCTGCCTGAGCTGCAGAGCAAGTTTACCTGCTTCAAATATATATAATTTGGGGGAAGGAGAGCTGGGGCAGTAGCTCAGCGGAAAGAACTTGCCTAGCCAAGTGCAAGGGACCAGGTTCAATCCTCAGCACCACAAAAACAAAACAAATACCCCTCTCAAACCCAGACTACAAAAAGGGACTGGGCTGAGACCAGAAGAGCAGCCATGGATGGGGTCTTTACTGACCCTTCTAGCTGTCAACCACCGCAGAGGGAAGGATGCTGCACAGAAGGGACTCTGTGGGTATCTTCCAATCAGGGCCAATGTGTCTCTTCCTTGTTCCACCTGCAGGAAGCCCTCCAGTTCATCTGGGATACCTGTCACTTGCCATGGCTCTGCCTTCCAGTCTCCTGTGGCTGCTACTGTGTCAGGTGCTTTCAGGACCAATGGGCACTGTTCACAGGACACTAGGGCCCTGGCAGTTGCCAATGGCACTGACCCAGGGCAGTCAGACCCCTGAACATCAGGAGAGATGCAGCTGCTAAATGGAACAAGACACCTGCTCAAGCTGAAGTACATGACCCAGGTCCCAGGGGACATGCTGTGTCCCCCATCCTAGGAGGGTGGCCCTGGCACACACCTCAGCTCCCAGGACCTGCCCAGCTACAAGGACAAGTTGGTAGGAGGAGACGGGGTCCAGAACCTCTGGCCTATTCCAAGACAAGTGGGACTTGGTGTCACTTCACTGTTACTGCCCTCACCAGTGGTTCTGAATAAAGCACAAGGCTATTGTTGTACAGCCTGTCTCTGCTAAGGCCTTGTTGGGAACAGAATCATCTTGGTGGGACCTAGACTATGGAGGCCTCCCACTCCCCTCAGCTGAAGTCTCAGGATTTCCACTACCTTGGAGATGTCAGCAATCACATCAGGAAGGCCTTGAATAGCTACCCCCTTCCTGGGGTCCATTTTTTCATTCCTCTTTCTTCGACAGTGGGAGGGATGAACGAGGGGAGCTGTATTTGTGTGATCACAAGAAACTCCAAGGTCATTCTCTCGACTGGTCTTGGAAACACTACAGGACATCTTAAGGGGCACACACCACTGTTTATTGGGTTCAAGAGTCCTCAAGCTTTGGCAATGACCCCCTGGACTTGCTCCTGGTCAAGATGGGGCCCCAAAGTAGGGCTGGGGCCAGGAGCCTTAGGGGTGGTGGTCTCAGCTCAGACCCAAAGCCAGGAGCGGAGCTGCAATCCATGCAAATACAAATCCTGGTCCAAGGAGTGAGGCTCCACTGGAGAAGGCCTCTGCAAGGAGAGAGAGCAACTCTAACTCCCTACTCCCTCCCCCAGCTCTGCCCATGGGCAACCCAGCTTACCTCGGACACTGAGGTCCAGGACCAGGTAGCCATTGGGGATGCCACCCTGAAGTCCCAAGCCTAGGCTGTCCAGGTCTTTCTGCTGCTGCCGGGAGAGCCATTCCCGGACAGGGCTTTTATCCTCCTCTGCCTTCAGGTCCACGATGTGTGGCCCTAGAAGTTTGTGGACCTCAGCCACAGTCAGCCCCTGCCAGAGCATGGGAGAGGCATCAGGGTCTCTAGGCATCCCCCCCAGAAGGTTGGAGGGAGCAGTAAACTGCAGCCCACAATACCTCAACCCCTCTATACAAAGGGCCCTACATGAGGCCGCGCATCTTCCTGCAGAGCCTGTCCAAACTCCCCCTCATAAGCTCCAACCCCTCCTCATGAAATCCTGTCTCTGTCCCTCCTATATCCCTGCTTCACACGAGGTCTCCCTCATGAGTCTCTATAAAAAGACCCTCCATTCCACGTAAGGACCCCCACGCACTCCCAAGCCCTCCCAAGCCCTTCTCCTCATACAGCCTGGCCACTTCCTGTAGTGCCCATCTTCAGCCCCTCCCTCCCGAGTTCCCACCTCCACTTACCATCACCGCATCCACCTGCAGCTTCTTGAACGTGGCTAAGTCCATGCCCATGTTCTGCTGGATGAGGGCCCGAAGGTCCTTCGTGGAGGCCCCCCCTGCAGGTGTCAGGGCCCCAGTTTGAAAACTCCCAGCACAATGCAGCCTCACCCTCAATATAGCACACTCAATTTCTCAGAGATTGCCTTCTCCCTGGGGAGTGCCCAGGTCCTTCTATGCTCAGCAACCATCTGGAATACCGGAGTCAGAAGGGGTGGGAAGCCAAAGTCATCGGTGTCAGATCCCACATGTGTATAGGACACCCTGGGTGGGGCAGGGGGAGGGTGGGACTTGGCACAGGACTGTGGGGGCTGTAGTGCCGCTGTTGTGTCCACCCCTCGTGTGTGCCTCAACTTACCCAGGAATGTCCTGATGTTCTCAAAGTATTCCGGCCTGCTCGAGTTCTGGAAGGCTAAGGAGGCCTTCTGAAAGAGGACGTCCAGGTGCCTCTGGCTGCATTTGTCCAGGTCTTGAGGCCCAACCATCCTGGGGGACATCGTAGGCCATGGCAGTGATTAGGAAGCTCTGAGTATCCATTCGGCCCCGCAGAGCACACCAGCACTCACCGTATAACACTGGTGGGGGTAGAGTGCAGATCCTGGGGGCTGATGTCACATAGGAAGGTTAAAGGGATGTCATTCAAGGCGTTTACTATGTCCTGGTCCAGCTGGCCTCCTCCCCGGAGGTAGCGGGCAATCAGGGCAATCACCTGTAGGAAGAAGCCACTGAGGTATCTCGGAGCAGGAAAAGATGCATTTCCCCCTCCCCCATCATGCCACATGTACCCTGGGGTAGATGTTACCTGATCATCCATATTTTGTCCTTTGCTAACTGTGAGCAGAGTTTTCACTGTGTCTGGTGAGGTCACATTCCACTTGTGGATGTCCTCAGGGCTAACGTATTGGAAGAAGCGGCCCAGCTGCTGGATCAGGGACTCAGGGTAGCCTTGTGGGTAGGTCTATAGAAGAAGGGACCATGAGAGCCAGAGCAACTCCTGGTGCCACCGTCCTGGTTACAGCAGACGGATGGGAGCCCATTAGGAAGTACCTTGTCCAGTATGTGCTTGAAGATGCCGAGCTGCTCGTAGGTGAAGGGAAGCTCATTCACAAGATCCATCTGGCTGGCCAGCATGCTGCCATTTACACAGGCATGCAGCTCCCAATCCTGGTAGAAGATGAGGTCTTCATCCACCTTTTTGGGCTCCCGCCCTGGAGGGCAGGCTTGCTCTGCAAGGGTAGGCAAGAGTCAGAGGCGGTGTGCTCCTCTCAACTCTCCCTCCTCCCACACCTACCATGACACAATGGCCTCAGTTTACTCAGTGACAAAATGGTGCAATTCTATTCACCCTCTGAAGTTATGAGCGACCAAGCTGAGGAGCCAGGAATGGCCACTGGTCGGCGCAAACGAAGCTCTACAATGCTAGACCCCTTATCCCTACTGTCCTATCTCAGTCTGCTACCCAAGAGACATGGCTCTGGGCTCACCCCGTGTGTCCCGCCGGAACCTTGGGTGCATGTCAGTCAGCTTAGGCCCCAGCCAGACAGGGTCCCTGGAGATGCGTTGCAGCCATTCAGCTATGACATCCTGAGGGTGGAGCATGGTAGGTTGAGTCCCAAAGCCCAGCAGCTTCAAAGCCAGGCTGGGAAGCAGGGATACTATGCTGGGTAGCAGGGATACCTTGGGGATACTGTGGATGAGGGACTCATCCAACACCACCAGCAGGCCCTGCAGAGCATCCAGGGTGGAGACTGACCACTTCGATGGGGGGCTGTCCAGAAGAAACAGGGGCTCAGCTCAGGGACACAGAATTTGGCCCCAGACAGAGGCCAGGAAAACAGTAACTGGGTCAGACAAGTCCTGTGCTGAGAGGTCAAGAAGTGCAGCCTCCTGGGGAACAAGACCTGACAGGATACAGCTGGGGAGACCCAGCCCTAGGAAACCCAGGCTGGCTATGGCTGTCCTCACATAGAGTCACCTCTATGCTAAGCCACTCCTACTCACCCATACGGGGCTCTTCCGCTCCTCAGGGCCTCCCTGACTGCTTCTTCCTGGCCCTGGCTCAGAGGTCCACGGCACCGTGCCAGCCAGGGAAGCAGGGATATCGCAGATCTGGCCACAAATTTCCCAGGCAGGTCACAGGCCAGGTCTCCGAGAGCCTGCACATCTGCCTCGCTCACTTGAAATCCACGCACGCCCTGCACACACAGCCAGGCAGCCTCAGCACCTTAGGGAAACAACCAGGCCCCCTTCCTGCTCTGTCTCCACCCCTACCAGATGGTGCCATTCCAGACCTGGCATTTCAGAGCTTCCTGTAGCAGCCTCTGGCGCTCCAGAGATCTTCGTGGGAGCAGATCCACATTGGCTTTCGAGATGAGGGAGAAGAAGTGGGCACAGGCCTGTCGTCCCAGAAACATGACTGGGCTGTGGAGAAGCAGGTATGCTGGTTACACACCACACACACACACACACACACACACACACACACACACACAAGCACACACACACACAAGCACACGTGGGCACGCACACAGACATTCCACCGAGCGCCTCATAGCAAAGCCACCCAGTCACACTGCACATCGTAGACTATGGCTAGGCAAGGGGTGAGGGCTGAGACCAAGTTCCCAGCTTGAGGCCTACTTGAGGAAGAGCAGCAGGTCCGGTGGGAGGGTGTCCAGTTCCTTATTGGTGAGGTGCTTAGGAAGACGACGTGCCAGACAGCGCAGCTGCCAGGAGACCAGGACACGTGGCTCAGAATGTTCTAGGCCACAGCCCTCAAGGATGGACTGGGGCACCCTAGCTCTATTCCACCCTACATGCCACACGCTGTACCCTGGCTCTTTTCGCACAGCCTGTGGCATGAACATCCCTCTGCGTGGAGAGCCAGGGACAGGTCTGCCTTGATCTTGAAGTCCATATAGGCTAGTCAGGCTGGCCTCCCTCTCCCTGTCCTTAGTCATGCCACCGCTGACCATGTTTTGAGGACAGAGCCTTGAAAGATGATGCAAGGTCTCTAGGAGAAGGACAGCCAGGTCATCTCAGACTTAAGGAAAGGTAGCAGGCCCGAGGGGGGGTGGGGGTGGCATTCATATGCACACCTAGCGGTCAGCTTAGACAGCAAGAGGAGCTCGGAGGGAAGCCACCAGTCAGGACCAGGTCCTGAGTTGTTGTGAAGGTGAGCAATGGTATCATAGAAACTAGTCACCAACTTCTCTGCCATGGTGTGTCCCCTTCCTAACACCCAAGGGCTATAGGTGGGGACTGACCTGATTCACTCGGAGTGTGATGTTCTTCTGTCTGACCGCCGTAGCCAGCCCCTGGGCATGCTCCGTGCTCAGGCCAGATACCTCATCACACGTGAGGCCAAGAAAGAGGCCTGTGGGGAAACTGGGGACAGGGCTGGGCGTCTGAACCCGACACTGCCCCTCTAGAAGTGCTTCCCTGCCTGGAGCACCCTCCCTTCATGACCCTGGAGTTCAGGTGGCCCTCCCTGGAACAAATGACCACCTGGAAGGCAAGGCACTTATGCCCTGGAACACAGTCCTTCCCTAACCTTACTGAGTCGTCCAGGTTGGGAGGGAGGCGAGTAGAGAGATCAGACAGGACACAGATGCCATTAAAGCATGAAATTTTGGGAACCTGGATATCTGGCACCTGCTTGCTCATCCCTTTTGGGGTGCTGTACGCCAAAAGCTGCTGAACCCACCTGGCAAAGTCAGGGATGTCGGTCAGTACAGCATGGACCTAGGGAACAAGGGCTGGCTGACATTTCCCCAAGCAGATAGGTGCTTCTTTCCCTCAGAGCTTGGTCTCAACTGTTTCAAGGGTCAGGTACTGCCTGAGTCTAAATATTTCTGGGGCCTGTGACCTAACACCCAGGTGTGGCCCTGCTTTCCAACTCAGCTCCTTTCAGGGCCCAGCTGCAGCCAGGATTCTGCTGCTCTCTGGGTTCAGGAACACTCTAGTCAACAGCCATCTTTGAAAACTAGTGCTAAGAGATGGTATGTATCCGTGTGTAAAGTAGAGAAAACATGGCTGCAAGGCTAGACTAGAAAATCCTTTTGTTTTCCCCAGGGGACCTCACCTGGCTGGTGTTTGTAGCCTGGGTCTGCAGAAGTGGCGTCCACCCTGGAGGGGCAAAGGACACAAAGCTGGAAGAGAGGCCGGGGCAGAAATGGGCGCTCTCTGGCCCCAGCTCTCTGCATACTCCACTGGATGTAGAGAGAGTTAAGGCCCCTGCTCCCCACTGCGTCATATAGCCTGGCCTTTCCAGGTCTTTCATTGTTCTCAGGCAACCTAGAAATGGTCCAAGCAGAAAGCAAAGGGCACGAGAGCCTCTTCCAAGGTCCCAACCCATGAAAGCCCTGGGCTTCCTTACCCCTCCCTGGTGATCAGCTCACCCCATACTCACCAAGACTAAGGAAGAGCAGTAGAAAGTGGCAGATGGGGCTTCCACAGGACCCCTGGGGTGGAGATGTTGGCAAGGCCATGGTCTGTGGAAAAAAAAAAAAAAAAACAAAAAAAAACGGCTCTGATGCCCACACCTGTCCTAGCCCTCAGTCCTCACCCCACACCACTGTCTGGGGTCGGTGATGGACCTTTGGGCCTGGGAAAGCACCTGTCCAACTTCTGGGGGCACCTGAAGTAGTGTCTACCAGGCAGACTCTCTACACTGACCGATTGCCCACCCCTGGGAAAACCAGCCCCTTTTTTAGGGAGGAGCATTGAGTCTGAGTCAGCCAGGCACCTCGGCTAGGAGGCCCAGCCCACCAGAGCTGAGCCCATCCTCCGTCCTCCAGGGCAGGGAAGCTCAGAAAGAATAGTACAAGGAGGCAGGGCTGTCTTCCGCTCAGGCTGTCACTGGTTCTCTGTTTGTATCAGGTATGCTGAGTGGTGCAGGCTGGGGCTGTGTTGGGCCACTCTTTCCCCTGGGGCACAGGGCTAAAGGTATCCAGTATATGCACAAACACGGGGCCCCATCAGGCTGACAATGCTGTATCGGGGAGGCAATGTCCCTTGGGGTGACATGGTTTCTCTGAGCTCTTTTCAAGTGCTGACATGGTCAGAACGGCAGGTGGAGAAGTGGGCACCAGAGGATCCATGTGTCTCCTGTGGGGTGGGGTTCAGGAGCTCTATGGATGGGGTGGGCAGGAACTGTTCCTTGGAGAACTGTCTCCCTAAACATGAGTGGAGCTGTATTCCAGCTGACTTTGCCTCAGGCCTCTCTAGGCTGCCCATTGCTCAGAATGTGGGTTTCTCATGCTCAAATGTTTGAGTTGTCTGGCCAGCCCAGCAGCAGGGAATGTCTGGAGAACCCTGGACCCCACAGGCCAGGAGGCTCCTGTTCTGAGAAGTCCCAGAGCAGGTAGAACAGGCTTTGTGGACCAGAAGACGCTATGTAGGGTGGGTGAGCCCAGGCAAGAAACATGTTTCAGTGACTCCCCTCAACCCAGGACACTGTAGCTGCAGTCCAGCCCTGTGTGAGTCAGGACCTGCCTATCATTCTAGTGGGCCCTGCCTCTACAGGCAGCTGTGGGCCCTGGAATCTGCATCTTTCACACCCACATCCTAAGAGACACAAATGGGGGCCACTGTCTTATAGTCACATAGAATCCAAGATTCTGTATACGTGGTGCCCATTCAGCTCGGGCCAAAGACACATCTCAGTGTGAAACGAATACCCACAGTGGTTCCACTGGCATGGTGTCGTGGCGTCCCAGGGGTGGGGGAACACAGGAGAGTCATTCAGGTGAATCCCTCTCCTTATTGGACATGAGGATCGGCGTCTGTAGGCACCCATTTCTCACTTGTCACCTGCATGTCTGCCGAGCACCAACTGTATGCCAGGCCACGCTTTGGGTCTTGTGCAGGGCTCTAAGATGGGACCTAGGCATGAGAGAGCTGACTCTGGCTTTCCCCTGTTGCAGGCGATGGCCCCGCATTCCCCAGGTGGTTCTGAGCAGACCACAAGTTCCTCAGAATGGAGTGTGAGGTGAAGTGGCTGAGTCTATGGCAGGGCGATGGCCGTCCTCCTTCCAGCAAACCCCAGCTGGACAGGGGAGGGGTCGCAATACAAAATCACAGCCTCCCTCCAGCCCAGTCTAGGGTTGGCCCTGAGTGACAGGAAATGAAGTCAGACCACATTCCTTGCAACGATCAGGCTTGGGTGAGGGTTGGGATAAAAAGCCAGGCGTGGGTCTTCAACACAGGGCCACCCGGCTGAGGGCAGCTTTGGTTCTTGCCGTGAATGTGCAGTCGACACAGCACCGTTGTAGGCTCGAGACTTACAGGCCGTGGGTGGGGAAGGAAAATAGAGAGAGAGGCCCCTTGTCCAGGTCTCCAAGGGCTGTAACGGAGCCAGGCAGAGCGTGGTGTGGCGTGCTGGGGCAACAGGGTGTGGGCCAGTCTGCATTCCTGGTAAATGCCGATGGTCTGTGTCCAGCAAGGGGAAAGCGGCTGACCGGGTGGGAGATGGTGGAGTCCTTATCTCTGCCTATAGCTCAGTTTGTCTGAGTGTGGAGGCCTAGCACCCACCAAAGCCCCCAGGTCCCCAAGTCCCCAGTGGCAGGCCCTACTCATGAAAACACTATTGAGCTGGTCTTCTCTGACTCCGTTTCCTCTTCTAGGAAGTAGGTGTGGACCGATGGTACAGCCTCTCTAGCTGTCCCTGGAACAAATGAGTCCCGGCCCAGGCATCTGGGAGTGAAGCTTCTCATGCCCTGGGAATGTGTGGGTGAGGATCCTGTACAGGGCTGCACACGGCCTTGGGCCAGGCCTGAATCACGTGGGGGAAGAGGACTGCTCTCAGCCTTCACCTTAGGGGAGAACCAGACTGGGCTTCCTTCTTGCTGTCCTATTTTCCGGGGGGGAGGGGGAACACAGCTATCACATGCCAGAGCTACAGGGCAAGACAGAGAAGGACCTCCCAGCAGGACACCCCACTCATCTCTAGGAGCAGGGTGCTGAATACAGCCAGGCCATATCGCCTTCTAGATGCTTTCAGATTTAAGCCATGCTGTGGACACCACTGTAGCCCAGCAGTGAGCAGGTGAGGGGTTTCAAAACGCAAACCCAAGGCTGGGTCAGAGCCACTGGCTCCACAGTGCTGAGATGACTGGACTCAACGCACCTAGCCCTGGTTGGTATTTAGTAACAGAGCCACCATGAATGCCATGGTATCCTTCTCCGCCCTTGGTCCCCACTTAATGGAGTGACCTTGAAAGTAAAAGGTCCCAGTTCCCCTCCAACACTTCCAATACCCGGAATGGAGTCTGTCCCAGCTTTTAATACCTACACAAAGAACTAGATTGTGGCCCAGTGGTACAGCATGCTTCAGGAGGCCCTGCGTCCCCAGCACACACACACACATGCACACACACACAAACAAAAGCCTACCTACAAAAACCTTCTATTTGCAGAACTGAGTTTACCCAGCTCCCACCTCTGACCCTTTTCCATGAATGGGTTTTTCTATTCTACCCAACCCTAATCTGCCCAGAACTCAACAAGGCTGCCAGGTAGAAGAGTCAATTTACAAAATCAACAGAGACGTAACAGCTGAAAAATGCCAGACAAGCGTGTGTAATAAGGCGGGGAACAATGTCCGCACTTTGTATTGATACAATTCAAAATATACTAATTATTATATTGGTTGTTTTATTTTTCTTTGGTTTTCCAAAATTATAGTCACATTGGGGAGTCAGTTCTCTCTTTCTACCATGTGAGGCCCAGGGGGCACACTCAAGTTGCCAGCCATCAAATCTTTACCTGCTGAGCCACCTTGCTTGTTTTTTGAGACTGGGTCTGACACAGACCTGGCTGGCCTGGATCTATAGACCAGGCTGGCTTCAAACTCACACAGATTCACCTGCCTCTGCTGGGACTAAAGGTGGACTCGACCACACCTGACTCCTTGTTCTTCTTTTTTGAGGCAGCACCTCAGGTAGCCCAGACTGGCCTCAAGTTAGATGGAGAGCCAGAGATGACCTTGAACTTGATTCTCCTGCCTCTACCTCTTAAGTGCTGGGATTACCCGTGTTCCCTGATGTCAAAGTTATTCTTGCTTGGCCAGCAGTGGTGGAGCACGCCTTTAATCCCAGCACTCAGGAGGCAGAAGCAGGAGGACCTCTGAGTTCGAGGCCAGCCTGGTCTACAGAGCAAGTTCCAGGACAGCCAGAGAAACCCAAGTTATTGTTGCTTAGGCCAGAGAGATGACTCCTCAGGTAAGAGCATCTGTCACCAAACCGATGACCAGAGCTCAATCCCCAGGATCACAGGATGAGAAAGAGACCTGATTCCAGAAGGTTAGGTGGCACACATATGCACAGTAAATAAAGGTGATGATAACAAAGTTATTAATTCTTCTCATCAAAATGCTCCATTTGTTCTTACTGATCTGTGAGGGGGGGGGGTTACAGGCTTCTTCACTGGAGCACATTTCTCCTAGGTTCATGTTAGTGAACGGGCTTTGAAATGTGAATACACCCTTTTGGCTTTGCTTTGAGGAACAAGTTTTAGCCTAAATGAAACGCCTGTCACACCTGTGCACTAGAACGGAAGTCACCGCTTGTTTTAACCCTGACTACACCGGATGGACATAAAGCACGTGCTTCGTAATTCCAGCAGGGTGAGTTACTGAAGTGATGGCGACCACAGCAGATGCCTCCACAGTTCATGCTTCCAAGGCTCGTGATCCCACGGTACAAATGGCCGCCGTACACGCTTCCACGGTACATCTCCCATGATGCTGTAGAACACCTCCAAGGCATAGGACCTCCGCCGTCGTCATCAAATGAACTGCGCCTGCTTGCAAGAAGCAGTCATCATCGGGCGTATGTACTGTTGACCTTCAGGAAAGTGCGAGACGTGCCCCTCCGCTTCTCTGCGATTGTGCCCTAACTGCACAGAGTGCTATGGGTTGTGGAAGGTTAACACGGAGGTGGGGTGTCCCGTCTCTGTGGCCGTGAAGGAGCTGTGAGCCATGCTGGTTGTAGGCTTTCCGCTGCAGCTGCTCTAGGACCACCCACACTCCTACCCTAATCTCTCATCCATACTTTTTTTTAACTTATTTTTTATTCATTACAATTTATTCACTTTGTATTCCAGCTGTAGCCCCCTCCCACGTTCCCCTCCCTCTTCTCCTCCCATACCCCTCCCCCAGTCCACTGGTAGGGACCCTAGTCTATCAGTTCTCATCAGGACTGTCTTCCTCTGTGGCCTGGTAAGCCTGCTCTACCTTCAGGGGGAGGTGATCAAAGAGCCAGCCTCTGAGTTCATGTCAGAGACAGCTCCTGTTCCCCTTACTAGGAACCCACTTGGAGACTGACCTGGTATGGGCTACATCTGTGCAGGGGTTCTAGGGATCAGTCTTAGAAAAGACCCCTGGGCCCAGATTTTTTTTGTTTCTGTTGCTCTAGCAATTAAAAACAAGAAAATCATGAAATTTGCAGGCAAATGGTGGGAGCTAGAAAAGATCATCCTGAGTGAGGTATCC